AGCTTACTTTAAACTTACATTGAAATAAGATTGTTTTTGGAAAGGTTATGTTAGGCCCCCTGTATTGGTCCCATTTAAATTTGAAGGAAAAATTCCACCTCTAAGGGTGGCAAACTAGGGGTGATGACTCCGGTTTCACTTCACGGTGCACTTTCTGGTAACCGATCCACGAACTTTTGAGGTCGGTTTTTTTTAATAAAAAGTACAATTATTATTGTTTGCGTACGGCAATTAATAAAAAAGGCCCCGTGTCTGGCATTTCTTGTTTTAATTTCGAAAAAATTTTCAGGGAAACATGTTTTAGGTTTTTACGACTGTTTTAAAATATTTACGTCCTGTTTTAAAATTCAATTTTTGTTTGAATTAAGTTTCAGTTTTAAAATAGGACTAAATATTTTAAAATAGTCGTGAAAATTTAAAAATGCTCCCCAAAAAAAAATCGAAATCGCGGTTTTGCCCTTTCTACAAAACACCTACGATATGATAACAGTTGCAAACTACGAAGTAACATAAATGAATTGCAGAATCGTACTTGGAACTTTTTTCCAAAAAAAACTGATTGGATTATCATATTAAGTTTACGGAAACGACTATTCCTTATTTTGTGTCAGCGATACAATGAAGTCACTCGTTTATTTGTTACAATAATAGTAGTGCTTTAGCCATCATATTTCGCTTCGATTTGTTTTTTCCTCCTCTGAACAGCTTACTTACTTCCTCACGAATTACGCCATTTCGTAGCTATCTTATTCGCATCTTCGATTCATACGAGCCTAACATTTTAGGGATGTGATCCGCGCATTATGGCAATTTCATGTTAACGGCACCATTATTTGCGGGCTCCAGAATCGGTTCGCGACGACAAGGTAGGGCGAACGACCAAAGTTATAATAACTTGGTCCGTCCCTTCGTATCTGCCATGAGAGCATTGTCTTCTGATCCGAAATAATGGCAAGATGTTACACCTACCTCAGTCGTACTTTGTTTAATTAAGACGTGACTCCTGATTAACGCGGTGACAATTCATGTCATAAATCTCTTACGGACAATTGTATTATAATAGGTACTTAAACATATTTAATTAATGATTTTTTGTGCTGCGCTATATTCTTTAACAAACCTTTAATTTTCTTAAGGTTTTCGGTTTGAGATTTGTTTGCTTATTTCCATACTATCAAACTACGAGTTTGTGTTGGTGTATTTTTAGTCATTGACGCAATTAAATCCATATAGAGGAAGGAATAGCAATTCGTAACGCGCCCGGTTCGTTTAACTCAATGTGATGCGATGAATGCCTCACTAGTACGGTACGTTCCTGTTTCTAACGAAATACCTGCTTACGCTTAACTGTTAGTTATATGGGCACTTACATCTGTTTTATTGCGCCGATCTGCACCCTATTTGCATAATAGTGGCAGATGTGGCACATTTAGTTAGTGAAATTTCCGCGTAGCATGCTGTAACAACAATATAATCAGATACACTGTTTAACTTAATAGTTTGTAAACCTTTATTATAGACTTTATTACATAAAGTTCTTGTTTCTTTATATAGGGTCTACTTCTTTAGGCCTTTGTTCTACTTCTTGCCATACCTCTCCTTGTCGTTTACCAGTGTCGTTATCATTAGTGGTAATTTGATAACATAAAATTCTATTCTCAGATCCTTTATTCGAGACAACATGTTGTTTGTTAAATTATCTTGCATGCCGGCGATTACACAACAGCAAGCCAACTCCGAGGTCTATTAAGGATCTATGATAGTGGCAGTTAAAAGAGCCATTGTGCGGTTAAATCGGGTTGCACAATGTCTGGAAGGCGTCCCGACGTTCCCTCCGATGGACCTTATCGATGCCACAGCTACAGTCGCGAGAGCTCAACGCTTTTCTCCGTGCCTTTTCCGTTTAATTAACAAACTTACTTTTTAGTTATCCACTCTTTAATCTGTATTCATTATCGATCTTTTAAAGTTTTTGATGTCGGCCATAATTGTTTACGTGTGTTTGTGTTTAAGAGTTCTTTATCGCGGTACACATTTTAATGGGTAGTTTGAATTAACCTTTGCGCGCGCTTGTAGATTCGCAACTCGGCTAGGAGCGGGTCATCTGCTAGTTAATATTCAAAGGGTCGCACAATCACGGATTCCAGACGCGTTTCTCTTCCAGCGCCGCCTCGGAATGAGCTCTAGAAACCTCCGTTTTAGTTACCAAATAGACTACTGTTTGTCTGCATAATATTACATACATTCCAACATGATAAAAAATGTACCCGAAATTATAGTAGCTTAATGTACATTTACACATTTTTGGAATTTTATTAATGGGAGTCCCCCGAGTACCGGACACTTAAGGTTTTGCAAAAAATAATCAAATTGTGATCATGTTTTATTATGACACGTAACATTTTGAGATACTCATTCATATTAGACATTCAAATAAATCAACATAGATAACTATCGAACAATTTTAACAACTAAAAAAAGAAACTAATTATTGGTCTATTTTTTGGATCCATTGAAAACTGGCACCTAGTACCGGACAAGTATTAATTCAAACCCCTAATACCGGACAGTACAGTTAACATCGAGATTTCGGATATAAAAACTTAGTCAATAATCTTTCATTAACCCGGAAACATACTGAAACAAAATGTACTCTTTATTTAAAATAATAATATCTAACATATGTATATAATTTTAAGAAATACGACTATTATAGACTTTCAATAAATCAACGCAAACAATAATTGGATTTAGTGAAAACAATTTAAAGATAACTTACAAAAAATTACAACGATTACAAACATAGAGATCTGAGCACTGTGGGATATCCGCACAGGTTTCATGTGCCCATTCTTTACATGACCCACACTGAATCCAATCTTCTTCGTAGTCTTCGCAACAAATAACACAGTGGTATTTCTCTAGCTGTTTTTCAACCGGTTTTATTGATTTTTTTTTTTTCTTCTAAACGTTTGTATGACGAATCAGTCAAAATTTCACTTTTTTCACCCCGACATTTCCTTGTTTGTTCACTAGAGCAAATTATATAGCATAGAACATTTTATCAAAATAAGATTTTCTCCCTACTAAGGAACTTGTATGGATAAAAATATACTTGTCCGGTACTAGGGAATCAGATGCGAGTATTGTCCGAACGGATACACCATACCTAAGTAAAATTTCGATTATAATAACGTTTATTAATATATTTGCCACATAATCTCAGTACAGAGTACTAAAAAAACCGACCTCAAAAGTACGTGGAATTACATCTATTTGCCAAGTTTTATTGAAATGTCCCCTAGTTCGCCACTATACAGGACTTGACACAGGAGATAATAAAAATCGGTTCTCAGTACTCAAAGTATATTGAGAAAGAAAAACGCCTTGAATTGGAGTATAGCAAAACCAACCATTAAAATAATTGCTCCCAAAAAAGAATCATTAAAATCGGTTCACAAATACCGGAGTTATCGCGTAACATACATACAAAAAAAAATTGAGAAGCTTCTCCTTTTTTTGAAGTCGGTTAAAAAGTATTTCAATGTTTTTACATTGAAATGTACTTACCAATGATTAAAGAAAAAGCAATACACGCAATGTATTCTCTCGAAATAGTTATTTATGATTTTTCCAATATTAGCCGATGCAACTGATTCCCGCGCGGAATGTGCAAAATGTCATCTGTAAATCGTATCGAGCGAGACTAAGGCCTGCCACGCCACGTGGAGTTTCTTTCCGTTAAGTTTAACATCTTTCCATAAACGAGAGCAAATGAGAGCATTTTTTCATGTTTGAACGTGATCTGTCCGGTACTATGTGCTGTCCGGCGCTAGGGAGATTGCCTCTAGGGTTCTGCAATGGTTGTCGAAAATTTCCGATATTAATAACACTCTATCTTTAGAAATAAAAATGCTACATTTTGTGAATAGGCATTGATTAAATTTTTACTAAACCAATTTGTGATGACGACGTCGTAACGTGTCATGTTAAGTAACTCCACTTTGGTAAGTTGGGTGTTCAAAGAACGTAAGAATTGAAACATAGGAATTTTAACTCATACCATAGGCTAATTGAATTGCGATAAAAGTCACAAATGATACAACGTTTCATTGTCCCGCAAATCGGATTTCGCATTCATTACTTAACTTTTTAATCAAATTTAATCAGATTTTGAGGATGGCTCGTCCAATTTCACGGTTGAATGGGTTTGTTTCAGAACTGCAAAGAAATGTTTCAATGTAAGCCTTCATTCAAATAACGCGAAGGTCGGATTTATATGGGTGGCCGACCGAGGAATTCACGACTCACCGAACTCAAAGATCTCGAGGGATGAAATTGATATATTACGAAACGACAACATAATTTTTTACGAACTTATGCCCCAACTTAGTAAGAACCTTAATACGGTACGCACAAAACCTAGCGGCTGATTTACTGACTGTCTTTTGTAGGCACCGTAATTTCTCAGTGTGTTTTGCCTCAAGCTTAACTATTTAAAATATCAAAGACGTTATGCTATTTGATATCTTATAATATTTCAGAACCCTATAAATAGAAGAACCATTTAAAAAATGCTCATGTTGACCTCCTTTTTAATTATACTTTGCAGAGATCATTTTTTATGTAAATCATTTAATATATGTATTTAATTTTATCGTGTATCTTGTACATTTTTCTGTGGCATACTTTCAAAATATTCATTGAATTTATTGTCATTGCTTTAATTGTTTACAGATCCAATAGACAAACAGCAACTCGTCGCCCCATTTATAGCACAGCAAATAGCATTTACATTACTGTAGCGCTATTTCAATATTTATGAAGCTCTGTTGTACCTAATGGAAGCCTATCTAATGGCTTTTATATTGTACTAAAAAAAACTAAGCGTTCTATCTCGTAACGTTCGATACATTTTCTTTATATATAATTTAATGAGTAGAGAAAAAGATAGAGAGGCAGTGAGATGAAAGACGAATTAAAAATGTGTATTGTTACAGATTGCACACATGAGCTGGAAAGTGGGAGGCGTTGATCGGTGTCACGCGCGCTTGCCGTGAGCTCGTACCACCAGGAGCCTCGCCGTCGTCGTGATGAGCACAACCCGCCAAAATGTGTCGGCGGCCATTTTAAACCGGAAACGGACGCGTTTGTCGGCTCGAGATGGCCGTCACCCTCGACATACGTGCAACCAGGCACCCCACGCACACGCGCTCTCCTACACCATCGCAGCACTATGAAATGTGGAAACACGGCAAGTGGCGACAAAAAACGTCACCACCAAGGACAAATTCAGCCGTTAGAGTGCCCAGATAGAGACTACAGTGTATATTAGAGGCCTAAGTGTTACTGTTCTGTGTAAATATAGTGGTGTATAGGTTAAGCATGGCGGGTGACAGTCGCGGCAGCCGTGCGCCATTGCTGGAGTGCGGCGGGGAACATGCCTACGCACACAAACCGATGGCGTCGCGCTACTGCTTCTGGCTCGCTAGTCACGTGAACGTGAGGAAGTGTGTCGCCGGCATCATGCTGCTATCCGTCCTCACTATATTCTTCTACACTTATTACGTCACAGCACCCCTTACCAGGTCAGCTTACATTCATATCCCGAGTTTACGATTATCAAGAGTAATGATGCAACAGACTTCTGCTTCTGCAACTGCGGAACTATTGCACGTTTTTTTACATTTATTCCTGTCTCTGCTTCCACAGCTTTTATAACGGAACTTATAAATATCGGAAATATATAACGTCCGCAATGGATCAGGCGCGTGCGCGGTATGTTGGGCGATAAGGTGCGTGGGTTTTAGCAGTTTTGTATTGTTTTAAGTGCAATTATGAAACCAAAAACAAGCCCTGTTTGAATTTGTTTCGTTGAGGTGTTTATAGTATTCATGACACCACTGTTGCGTCACTAATTAAGAGTCATTGAAAAATTCTGGATGCAAACATATGAGGTCAAGTGAAAATAATAGTAAACTAACTAACAAGTCTATCACAATTGACAAATCCAATTTTAATCTGATATCTGACGTAGGTACCTATTCATGGGTCGCAGATATTGTTGTTAATTAATCTTTATTAAATTAAATTATGTCGCTGAACAAGCTTGAACATAATTAATTGCTCTATCTAGCTGGTTGAAATATGCGTCATTCGCCCAAAATTCAATTTTACCTCTATCGAGGGCAAACACGACACTGATACGAATTATTATGAAATTATCGGCACGTCAGGTTGTACCATTAACTGTTGGAAGATTAGTGGAACATTGAAAGTGCATTAGTGATGTAACGCGTGCTGTGTGATCCAATTTCAATGCAGTAATAGGGATGGTATTATAGGGCAAGGTGTTTCTTGTATCTAAGCAGCTGACTTTGTTAATAATGCAGGTCGACAAGCTCAACCGCCGACGGAACGAGCGAGGCTCTCTCTGCTATAATCATTGCCGATGCAGATTCTATTCTATTATCCTCTTCATTTACCTAATCCAACCCCTATAATTTCGAGTATCCTGAGCTTCTCTTTTTGAATTTTAATATGCTAAATTGATCAGAATGTTAAACTTAATTTTCTGTATGTGTATCAGATAATGTGTGTGCAATATTTGACTTAATGCATGTTTTTGCAGCTGAAGTATCTAAAGTCAGTGTCGTTATAGTGCTAGTAAATATATTTTCTCTTTAATATTACCTTAATTGTTCGAAAAAGGTATCAAAGCAGGAAATTATTATGAAAGAGTATAGCAGTGCGTAAAATTGGCAGTTCCTGAATACAGGAAATTGCTTCGTGGGAGAAATAGATGCATTTTAACGTCGTACCAGCCGTCCTTGTCGCCGTTTGTTCGGCATCTGACTGAAATTGTAAAGGGTCGATATGGCGAAAATTGTAAAGTAGTTAATAAATATCGCGAATCGTGATTTTCTTATAGTTAAGGTGCATGTTACGAGAGTAGAGCGACAATATTTTATTTTATCGCGTTTAAATTACGCCCAAGAAGAGGGGTAAGGGCGGCAAGTTTCGCGGGCTCAGTTAAATTTATAGCAAAACTTGAATTCTGGCTAATTAATGGAAGCTGCTCCGCCAATGCGTGCGACTCGTTGATTTAACAGCGTATTGTTTCATGACTCTCCTAGCCAAATTTTTGTGTTCAGAACCATTTCGGTTGGAGCAGTCCGAATTGCGATCATTAGCGTCGCGTCACCCGGTGTTTAGTAACAGTCAATTGTGATTGTGTGACAAAACTGTCACGAAATCAGCTGATGATTTACGGCAGAGTGTACATTTGTAGGTTTAAGATTAAAGAATCTTAAAGCTCTTAAATCTTTATAGCTAAAATATTTATTCTAACTTTTCAATAGTCATTTGTCTAGTTAAAAGCAGTTTCGTTGCTCAATGTTCTTTCAGCCATCGACGTCAAAGTTTCCTCGGCCGAATTGCACGACTTTCATTAAAGCAAAGAGGTCACAAGTTCCAGCCGCGGCCTACGGGGCACAAATTCTGCCTTTATTTATTTTCCGCTGCTTATTCAGATAAACGCTAATGGCGCTTTGATGTGGCCTAACTTGAAACACACCCTCAACTTTGGCAGCTTTTGATTGATTTTCTTCAAATTTTGTCTTGGAGGAAGTTATTTATTAGTATGAAATTTTTAATAAGCTCTGTAAAAAATTATATTTTTATCGACTTTTTATGGCTAGAGACCGACGTAGTTTTTTTTACCGAAAATAGTTTGCTGCTCCCAAAAAGACAGCGATTAATCCGTATTTGAAAAACTAAGTACTGGATTCCAAATGCGGACTCTTTGTTTAATCCGAACTCGAGTGCTCCAGTCTCGATAGTTTCTGATACTTTGCTCGTCTTGTTTTATTTCAACTTTTCCTGTAGACAGTCCTGTTACACACTAAAGAAATTGTCTTTTGAAGTAGGTTGTATTTTTTACTTTGTATTATTGTAATAAAATACTAAATAACTGGAATCGTATGTCACTATTGTCTGGAAAGATTTCTTCCATAAATTTCAACAAATTAAAACCCTTGCTTTGAAAGTAAATAAGAAAGATAAAAATACTTTTAAACTGTCAACAATATGGCTGTTAAAACCTAATTAAATGATCTTAACAAGTTACAATAAGCCCATAAAACATCGGGTTCGATATTACTGAGTTTTTAAACAAACAATTTATCCCGCAGCTTGGTGTGGCGCGACCGTGTACCAAGACCGCTCTCGCAGTGTTCAATTCTGGTGTCAGAACAGCAAACTGCGCGCGATCACCGGTCAGACGCGCGCCTACGCATAGATGCCAAAGTGCTGGTCATTGTCGAGTCTGCATACTCGAGACTGGGTCGTGATATTGCTGAGCTGCTTGTCGCCAACCGAATACGGTAAGATGTTACTATTACTATATTTTTAGTTACCCTTTTCTCTCAGTATGGATCGTCTTCATACTGTCACACCTCGCTACCTAATATTTATCATAAATTCGTTTGCATTTTTTTCCTCGAGTCTAAACAAAAAAGTCATTACTTTGTTGTGAAACGTCTTAATCACACTAAGTATTCGTTACTTGGGGACTTTTTAAAACTTTATCAACAAACCAAGCCCTTGGCATAAGAAGACGTAAAGCAAGCGCATAATTTTGCCCGCGTAATACAACGCTCTGAAAACACGATTGCTAAGAAAGAAGAAAGTATCGTTTAAAAAACTTGTTCAAATATTTACTGCACCCGCTTCGTTGATGATTTAGGGCGAGTACCCGCCTTTGTTTGTTTTTCCTGTCCGATCGAGGCGATCGGTTTTGTTTCGTGACAGCTAATATGCGGACGACTTGACGTACTGCGGGGGCAAAGAAGCGATGACGGCGGGAAGCGAGGAAACCTCCTATCTACATACAATTACTTATATACTATCTATCTTCACCAGTCCCGCCCCATGTCAACTCACGCGAGACTTTTTACTCCTGCTCGGTTAAAATCGGTTTTCTTTCGAGCCTCAGTCAACGGAAGCGACGCTTGTTTTTGAAATGTTGGACAGATCAGAAATGAGTTTTTTTTCTACGTTTTTATCGATACCCAAGTTTGTTCGTAACCCTTGTCTCGGTTTGTGTCGTTCCACTGACTTTAAGTGAGTTTATAAAATCCATTTGCAATTTCCTCGGCGCTATTATAAAGTCCTGATGTATTGGCAGAAAAACACTGTGTTGCCTATTTGGTCAATATTTATGTGTTACCTGAGCCTATTAGTACTATTTGTTGAATACTATTACTACTATTACACATTAAAACAACTACTGAAACATAAAAAATCTTTCGTCGTCATCATCATCAGCTCATCGCAATCCTCTACTAAACATAGACCTCTCCTAATGTGCGCCATTTTCTAACTTATCGCATCCATGTGCTGCCAGTGGCATTTCGCAGATCGTCACTCCATCTAGTCATTCTTAGGGTCGTATTCCAGAACTCTACTCAATGCTCAAGTCAGGATCTGAGTATGATTTCAAGCACTGCAAATACGACCCTAATGGCATGGACTTGAGTATAATTTCGAGTGCTTTAAACCATACTCAAATCCTGACTTGAGCATTGAGTAGAGTTCTAGAATACGACCCTTACACTATGTTTGCCGAGCTGTGGTCTCCACTCAAGAACTCGTTTCCCCCATCGATTATCGGTTCTTAGGCAGATATGACTGACTTGATTCGACAGACCTTGCTTCTCTGTTGGGTAACCTCATTACGAGTCTTATAATTCAGATAAACTTTTTTAATAACCGATATTTTAATAAGTTATTTATCCTTACAAATGTCATAAGTGATATGCAGAGAGAACACGTAAACCCAAAAACATGACATTGAATATGACAAATTTTCCAATTAAGGCTAGTGGCCCGTGAGCAATGAAAGCAGGACGCTCGCTGGATGACACACAATTTCAGTTGTGATAAATTAAGTTCTTATACAATATTTTCGTTATCATGTATATAAGGGTATTATGGCGGATAACACTTTGTCGTGGCTGAAAATCAGCTGTACAAATGTATGAAACATTTCGTTCGAGTATAAACATTTACTATATTACGCATTGACTTAATTGTAAGTCAATGATATTACGACTTATTTTTTCTTCGAGACTTCAAAGGGCTTCCCCACAGCAAAAGTGGTTTGTCTCGTTGTATTATGATATATAATTAATAGTGCTTCAGATAGAGTTCACGGATTCTAATAGTGTTTACGTTACTAATTAAAAACAATTTAATAATGCCTAAAGACTAACATGTAAAGAAAACACTAGCAAAAGCTTTAAAATATTCACGAAATACAGTGATTAGCACTCTTTTTTCAATAATTCTTTTAATTACAGTTAAGTACTGTTAAAAAGTAATATATAACATATATAGAATTTCATGAACTTAATAAATGGGCCTTTGTTAGTTTTTAAATTATCTAAAGTACCTAAAATATAGGAACAATTTAAAACTGACTGTAAATTTAAAACAAATGTATGACAAATAAGAGTCAAAGTATGAATCATTACCATTGCTAGTCTTCGTAGTCTCGTAATAAAATGCCAACAATTAGCAAATTTTGTATATTAGTTTACTTGGTCCTTGGTACTTGGTGCAACGGGCTGGTTTCCGCAACTCGACGACAAAGCGCCTATTTTGCCTATATTGGCTTAATTTAGGTAATTATTTCAATATTTTTTTTTTAAAGAAGCATCAAAAAGTCCTTATGTCACTTTATTTATTTTACCATGTGTTTTGATATTAGGGCAATGTGTAGTATCATAATGTGTGTATGTCATAATTAGAGCTTCTTCGGGATGACTTCAAAGTTATGTTTCATATGGATATGATTTCGGGATTCCGTGATTTTATTACAAGTGAACAATGTCCACACAATGTTTTTTTAATTTTCGTTTATTATATTTTGTTTGTTTCTATTTTCAAAAATTCAATGTGTTAGCTTCTACACCTCACTCCCTTGATGTGGTTTGAAGATTACGTTTTCTTGTGTGGTTCGCTGTGTTGTATTTAAGTGGATTCTATTTGACTCTCGCTAGTTTACACGTTTGTGAAATTTTCTAAACACCACTGTTTTAGCTTGAATATACTTTTTTTTATTTGTATTTAAACATTTGTTTTGCATTGATTAGATACAAAGATCGAACACACAGAAAAATTTTCGTCAACCCAGTGGGCCGTTACCCTATACTATTCGTAAAACACTTAACGAAACTCAATTGTACTTAGAAATTTTTCACAGAAATAAAGGAATCATTTAAAGTTATCATAATAAGAGACTAGATATCGTTGAATGAAACGACACATTTTTATGAAAGTGTATTGTCCGTTATAATGAAACCATTCGGTGAGAATAAAGCCGATCTTATTTGATTACGTGTAAGGTGCTAAAGGTTGATCATGCACAATTTGCGTTATTTGGAAAATGTATAAACAGCGAAACTCTTTTGAATTTAAAGTTCGTACTATTTTAATACTTTGTATTAGTAGTACAGCGTATACAATCTGTATTATACAGTATATACAATCTGCTGTCCAAAATCTAAAACATGACTTACCACATTTTAAATACCTTACATGTTTCGTGCACGCTTTTGATCGCGTATCTGAGCAAATATGGCTGAGATACAGCGATGTAGATATTTAAATATTAGATGTTAAATGAACATGTTTAAAAGCTCAGATTCAGAATTCTCAATAAAAAACCCGAATTTACCGCTGCCCAACTAGGAATCACAAGGTTGAGGCACTTGGTTGAAGGTTGACCACTTTCTATGAAGATTTTGATGTAATAGCTGACCGAAATGCAAAACACATCTTACCAAAAAGCAAATATATAAAATAACTAAAAATATATAGAACATAAAAAACATAAATTGTATAGTTTCAATTTATGTTAAAAGTATTACAAAAATACGATATGCTAAAATGCTAAGCGACTAATTTTTAACCGTTTAACCGAGTTAGAACTGCCATTATAATAGTGTGCATTTCAAAATATTGAAAAGACATTGGAAAAAAGTTAATAATAATATAGTGACAACATTGAAACCTCTTAGTTTCAGTCAGTAGTTTGCGATGGTATTAGCAAACATGAATAATTTAATAACTGATACTTTCAGAGGAAAAAAATTGTAGGGACCTCGAAAGTGGCGCATATTAAACAAGCCCTTTCTACTGCCGTAGATAACTACGACAAAAATTATTAAGGTAAAAATTGAGTTTTTGGCTGTCATTAAGCCAAAAAGACAATTTTTTTCTTAATACTTTTGCAATTAATCCATCTTCATACTTAATTTTTTATTTTTATATCATTAAACTTGCACTACCTGTTTATACCTATATTGTCCTTCTGTTTGTTTATATTTATTGCATATTACATCTATAGAAGCAAACGGTTTAACGTATGTAATTGTTTTAAACATCGTTTTTTAATTTTTTTAATTTATGCTTTACACTTTTTTTCTTTTTCCTCTACATCGGCAGCATATAAGGATTCAGTTAAAGACATTAAGGGTCGTATTCCAAAACTCTACTCAATACTCAAGTCAGGACTTGAGTATTGCAGTGAGCACTGAAAATCATACTCAAGTCCTTGCCATTAGGGTCGTATTTCCAGTGCTTGAAATCATACTCAAGTCTACTCAAATCCTGACTTGAGCATTGAGTACAGTTCTGGAATACGAGTCTCAGACTCCAAGATAGCTACTTGTTACAATTTTATTCAAGAAAATATAATTTACCTATATTTAATGAATTTTGTTTATGTTTTGTGTTTTCAATAAAATAAAAAAGTATACCTAATAAAAATTGTTAAAAAAAAGGCATATCCATGTTATGACCGCTTGTCGCAAAAAGAAAAACTGGACTTACGTACTCCGATCACTGGTCCGATCAATTTATTGTTATTATTCTTTCATCTCATTACAAATTCTTTAGGAAACAACGCTGTTATACGTTGGAGCATATTACATTAATTATTTCAATTGTATTAATTTATTCTGTGTCTATTGCGTAATTTGTAAAAAACCACCAGTTGGTTGCGCTAAGTGTTAGAGAACCAAATGGTAAGAAGCTGATAAATCCAAAACCAGCACTAAGAATTCAAGTATCAGTTTATCTTGTTGGCTTAATTAATAAGCTAAGCAGATAATTGTTGACGAAAACGTTTGTTAGACGGAAGCAATAAACTTAATTAAATGTAAGCAATGTGTAAGGTGACAGTAGAGATGCAATATGGCAGGCGCTGTCGCGACTCGCGACTCGTTTACAGCAAGTCCTTGTAGCCACAGTTAGTTAGTTAGTTAGTAGTGCCATTAGAGACAGCCTCGCGATTCCCCCCTCCTCTCGCATTGCTTCTTACACCTCCCACTCCATTAGTGGCGCGTTGGAGTCAAAACGACTTAATTACTTTACGAAAATTCGCAAGTTTCTTCAAAGTCTTCGCTGAACGTCAATTTTAAACCAAAGAGACTTCTTTGTATTCGAATACTAAATTTTAAAATGCTTGTAATGAACTTTCAAAACCTGCTAGGTTGACATCTAGCACGCTACCTTACTCTTATAACTTTTTTATAAAAAACACCGACATCATAAGTTCGTGGAATTACATCTATTTGCCAAGTTTTATTGAAATCGGTTACCGGAAAGTGCGCGAAACCGGATTCAGCCCTTAGTTTGCCACCCTTAGAGTTGGAATATTGTCTTCAAAATTAAATAGGACCAATACTGAGGACCCTCTTTCTAACAAAATATACTTATTAAAATCGAGTCACAAAATGCCAGAGTAATCGCGTAACATACAAAAAAAAACAATCGAATTAAGAACTTCCTCCTTTTTGAAGTCGGTTAAAAACATAAATATTGAGTTCAATTGTTATAGATACTAGGAATAAAAAATCGGAGAATAAAAGAATTTCAGCTCTTGTTCGAAACTTTAGTTCCTTTATGAGTGTCAATAAACCTCGTAGTGTTGTTGACCCATTTTTAAAAAATAGCCTTAATTATTTCATAAAATTTTAAGTGGTATTTGATCTACGTTTCATGTTTAGACACTCTGGGAAATAATTTAAGCGTTTTAAAATTGGAAATAATAAATTTTTTTGCGTCTAAATCGCGTATTATTGATTTTTTTCAATTGTGATCATGGAACCTGTATAAAGCCCAAAGTATAAACGGTGGTTTGTTTTGAAAAATAAATATACGCGATTTAAATCGGAAAAAGTGGTTTCATGTCCAATGTGTAGCAATGGCGAAAACCAATGAACTCGATATGTGGTAAAATTACTGAAGTTAGTCGCTGAGCGTACTCGGCGGTTCTTGCTTGGCCGATATTCTGTGACACGTGCTTCCGTTTGTTTGACAATTTGATTCCTAGGTTCTCGTGAGCCTTAAGATGTCGAGTTTTGGCACCGTTTATTACTCTTCCACCCTCATAAACCTGTTTTGTCGTAGACATAAGCAACTTTTCAATACGACGTTAATGGGATTTCAGTAACCTTTTACCCGGGCGAATTTCACGGGTATGTAATGGGCCTTTAAATTGCCTTATGACGTTGAGAAAACACATTACTTAAAACACGAATGCATTTAATTTGTATTGTAATATATTACGAGCATGTTTTTTCGTACAAAATTGTCAAGATACTCAAGCCAAGGCATATGTCTTCAAATTGCAAGGCGTCCTATGTGGAGCGGGAATTTCAACAGTCGTTAGTTCAGTTAGTTGCTACTGCGAAGTCAGTGCGGCCGTTCGAGCCCGACTGGCGGCCGCTTGTTTACTTATCGTAATGTTTCGTACACTCATCGCTGTGCATCTTGTATATAACATTGGCTCCAATACAAGGCCATATAAATAGTTGTCTTATAAAGTTTATTGTGTTGACTTTCACAGTCTAGAAGACCAAAGGCCGAGTTGAATACATTAAGTGGTAGTCATTCAATTGGATTCGATCTGCATTGACTGAAAGTGCTCTAAAATTCGAACAAATATTCGGCCCATTTATCTCAAAAAGAGGATGGCTTTAGCAAGAGGACGACGGCTCTTTACGATAACTGCTGTTATCGCTGGGGGCGCCAGGTCGGACGGCGGGTCGCACGCCGCGCCGCGACATTGCTCTCCTTTATTGAACTCCATTTCCTTATCACGAATTAGCCCTCGTCGCATTCAGTTCACGGCTGAAGTAGGCCGTTTTTGCGCGCTCTCATTTAAACCGACGCTCTCGTTTAATGTCAAGACACTAATTAAGGTAATTAGAAACATATTAACGTGAGCCTAATACTCAATATGCTGATGGTACTCTCTTTCCGTCGTTGTAACAAGGGAAAAGTTTTTACAAACACAAATATATGCGACGGAGCCAATATATGCGACGTTTCCTCGGCTAATATACGAATACACAAGTTGCCAACGAATGCATAGTACATTAGTGAGTGAAGCGAACCGGCACGAGTAGGTAAATGCTATTTGCAAGTTGCTGGTTGTCCACGATCTCGTTCTGAAGTGTGCTCTAGCTGCCAAATTGAAATGGGCTTTAACTGGAGCAAAATGAACGCTCGCTTCTCGATACTATGAAAGTATCGAGAAGCGAGCGTTCATTTTGCTACTTGCTTACCTATAGCTATCGGTGAATGCTTTTTTCCATTTGTACGGACTGACGACCCACGTTCACCTCAAAAACCTGCCATAATTCAACAACTTCCCTGAAACGCTGGCATGTGATTTCGAAATTGAAAAGTTATCTTAAAAGGGAACGTTTAGACACTTCAATATTGCCAATCTACTCCTATCGTTTGCTCGACGTTTGAAAAGCAAAATCTCTACAGGACATCTTACCAAATTTAACAATTTTAGGACCAGGTTGGTCATAGTTTGGTGTTGGTTACTTTTGTATTTTTGTCATTTGACTTTCTGTTAATTTATTAGTGGCGCCATTAAATATCAGCGGGCACAATTACAAATGGTATTTAATCTACGAACTGCTCATAATTTCTCATGTGTAGGACATTGTACAGCGCAATTGCGAAAAATGAAACTAACGCTGTAAGAATGTAGAAATACCATTTATTCGGCGCAACAAATCATAAGTTTACTAGCGCGGAGGGTCAGTAAAAAATACCTGCAACTACTACATTGCTAAATGAGAAATAATATTTCTGTATTTACTATATGTAGTTTCATATAAGGTTTGTTCGTGATCATGTCGAGGGACTTTGCAGTTGAGATGTAGACCCATTACAAGTACTGTCTTCATATTCACAGGAGCTCGGTTAGTAATAATTAGTAACTCACGGTGGTTACTGTATAACAAAGTGTTGGCAGTTGATTAATCTCAAAAGTCAATATTTATCGCAAAAATCTTAGCATTCGCACCCTAATTAAAATAACCTTGCATTTAAACTGATAACAATTATTTTTTTTAATTTTATTTGTTTTATTTACACGAAAAACTATTTCGAAAAGAGCTTGTCCATTTTTAAAATCATTCCGATACACTCTGAATAGAATAACCGCCACGAATAGATCCTTGTTGGTTTACTCAACAAAAGCTATCATCGTACAGGAGTAACAAGATGGCATTGAAACCGGGTTCCATGAAGAGGATGTATTCTATTTGATCTCTGTTGGTAAGGCGGTATTGATCTCATGTAACGGGTTCACTCATCTATTCGCCGAATACACATTTCACCTCTACAATCCTTCTATAACCATAAATATCGCGGCATCACCATTCATTGTTGTTTGTGGCGATGAAAGAGTACGCTCTGAGCAGATTTAGTGCCTTAAAGTCCAATCGTTTAGACCACGTAATTCATTCAGCTCATTTTGTTTATTCACTTGAATAAATGTACGTATAGTTAGCAGCACTTTGAACCTAAGCTTTAAATTCGGCTCTTTGCCATTTACGATAATAATGGGCCAAAATTTAAAACCACCGAGTCTATGAATTTACTTTGGAGTACGCAAGGATTTCATGCTAGTGCATAGGTATCGTTGGGAGTATGAAAATTTATAGGAGAGAAAAAATATGCACTGAAATAAACTTTGTTCGTAAAACGTGTTGTTTATTTGACGCACCTTTTATTTATGACTGGACAAACTATTTGTAACTATTAAAATTACGTAGATAATTTATACCCTGACACTTATTCTAAATGCAAGATAATGTATGGTTGAGTAAAGGTTGCAATACATAATAGTACTTCTCAGTATGCGACCCTGTACACAGCTCAGATGAATATCTGCATACATTTGAGCTGTATTAAAATTATAAAAATAGTGTACGTTCGTATTACGTTGTCTCTACAGTCTTGTTATTTTTTTATTTATTTACTCAAACTCTTATATTAAATTCATGCTTCTTGTGTGAAAATTCCTTTGAAGCTATTGAAAGTTAACCGGAATGTTTAATAAGCACACTGCACATAAAAATAAGTCGCAGTTCTCTTGGCAACGCGTATTTAAAATTCGCAAAATTATTATAATGGTACTTAGTAGTGGCCGCGGAAATCTTTACATTTATTTATCTTTGCTATACAATTACTATATAATAATAATTTAAACAAACAAGTGGAGAACGTGTTTTGTCAAAAAACAGATGAATATAATTTTAGCAAAAACAAAATCATATTCAGTAAATAATAAGATTGTCATTAAGAGTTTCCAACATCCTAAATCTATTAATTATTTTCAGGTACAAAGTGGAAGTCGCTGGCAAGAGTCTGCCTGTGCTTACCACTTTGGACAAAGGCCGCTACGGCGTGATCGTTTTCGAGTCGCTGTCCAAATACGCCAACATGGACAAGTGGAACAGAGAACTCCTCGACAAATATTGCCGAGAATACTCCGTCGGAGTTGTAGGCTTCGCAACCCCAGGCGAAGAAACGTTAGTCGGCGCTCAACTCAAAGGATTTCCTCTATTCATGCACACAAACCTTAGGCTAAAGGTAATATTTGTATTTTTAGCTTACATATATAGGTTTCATTACTTTGAATCGTTTTTCACCGGTTGACGCATGAAAGCCGTTATGAGAATCTAGTGGAAACCTTCTACCATGTTACAGTGCTGAGTTATCGCTCTAATGCTCGAGATTTCCGATTCGTTCAGGCTTTATAGATTCTTCAGTTCAGATTGCAAAAAGGGCAGCGACAAAATACCACGTGGAACTGTTACCGTCTAACGAGTCGGGTAATAGGAGCTAACCTAATGTGAATTTCTATCTTCGCTTGTTTGAGGAGAGTGCCTGAAGTTTACCTACAAACATAATTTGTTAGACGGTTCACAAAACCTTTATGAACTTGTGAAGTCTCTAACCCTGGTTGAACGAAACCGTGATAGACTGTTACCAAATTACCAATCTTCCCAAATAGATGATACACGAACTTTGTTGCAGGATGCAACGTTAAACGCAGCGTCACCAGTATTACGGCTGTCGCGAGCTGGGGAAACCGCGTGGGGACCACTGCCCGGTGAACACTGGACTGTGTTTAGACCAAATAGCTCCACATATGAACCTGTGGCATGGGTTCTAAGGCAGAATGAATACGGCAATAATGGTAAGTGTACATAAGGGTTACGTAAGAAAACTGAAACACTTATCAATAGTCTGTCCTTTTGGAAGACGGAGCAAAATGACAGTTCATTGCGCGAAATTGTTGTACACTTACAAGCAGCTAGTGATTGCAGTCGCTAAATATTCTATAGTACTCCAAAATGTCAGTAAAGCTGTCTAACAAATCGTCGAGACCACGTGAATGAGCCCAAATATGATAGTTCTACTGTAGCTTAGAAATTGCGTAGTCTGCAGATTGGCGTGGTTACAGCGTCGTACAAGGTTACTTACTATATTATTATAATGTTATCTGATTTCCGTATTATACCAAAT